AAGTAATTCTCTTGCGAAAATAGTATTTCGCAAGAAAATAATAAACCATTTCTCGATCGAAATTCATCACATCTTTTCAAATCGCTCGAATTCCATCACATACCGGATTATTCGATTATTTTGAGGGTAAATGCCTTTTGAGGTTAACCGCCGCCAAAGTTTTTAAATGCGTTTATTTGAGAAAAATATTTTTTTAATTTGATTTTTTTTTAATAATAAAAATCTAACGACTTCTCCCATAGTGTGTAGGCACCTTAAGTAAATATCTCGATTAAATTGGTTTTGAAAAACTTATTTTATTTTATTTATTTTGAATCAAATAATTAATTTATCTGCGACATGTGCAAACTTTTTGTCGTGAACAATAACTACGACGATATCCCTTAATTCTACAATGTGTGGCACATAATGCAGGATTAATTTGGCAGGTCAAACGTTTTTGTCTATTCAAAGTTAATCCTTCGTTGTCAACACCATATCCCTCCAATAGTCCTTCATCCAATTGATTTAAAGTTTCTGCAGCCCGGCAGGAATTTATAGTGGCAAGCAAGAGCAAGGCAAAGCTGATTAGGAAAATTCCCAGCAATTTCATTGTAACAATTTTAAATTTTCTTTTGTTGGTTTTTAAAATGTTTACTATACTGATGTTAACCGAAACGCAGACAGTGTATTTATAGTAAATTTTAATTTGTAGGAGATATAAATTTGGCTGGGTGTTTATGAAATATAGGGGGAATTTTTTTTCTTAATATTTTATTTAAAAAAGGGTCTAAATATTATTTTTTTACTGCGGAAAATTCTGCGAAACTTAATAATGACTTATTTAAAAAAAAAACAACAATAACAAATTTTTATTAGGAAAGTAGTAAATAAAAAAATAATTATGTATGTTCTGACTTTCACAACATTTCAAATTCACATGAAATCAAGATTTCACACGAAATTATAAATGTGATGTTCCCGTTTTCACTTGGTTTCAAATTTAGTTTTACAACAAGTTTAACACCTGTCAAAGAAAATGTTTGTCGAAACACATGATCGTAATCACGTAGCATTTGGAAGATTGTTGGATGATTAATCAGTAAACTGAGTAATTTTTAACTGATGACCTTTGTCTTTTTGATGACCTAAAAGTGATTAATAAGTTGAGCGCTTAAAAAATGATTCAAAAATTATCCCGATACGGTGTGATTGAAAACTGACTATTTGAAAAACAATAACAAAATGTATAGCAATCATAAATTGATCATCCTGGTGTTTAAAAGTGATGATGGTTTTAAAAACTTATTTTGTGATCATATTTCAAGCAGTTGGAAGATCTAAAACTGTTTCTTGTGTAATTGTTATTGTTTACAATGGAACAGCAACACTTACACTTAAAAATTCGTTAAAAACGATTCAAAAATGAGTCGAAACTGATTAGAAAGGAGGCTCAGAAAAGACCCTTTTAGAAGAGTTGGCAACAAATTTTGTGTGGCCTAAAATGGGTTGATATAATTCTCATTTCGTTTATAAAATTGAATGTATAAGTATTTCAATTTGTGTGATATTTATAAAGTTCTGTCAAGGAATGTGAAATAATCCGGTATGTGAAGGAATTCGAGCGATTTGAAAAGGTGTGATGAATTTCGGTCGAAGAATTGTGCTTTAACTATAATAATTTTATATGTTTTATGATCTTCTACGGAAGATAGTTGGGTGAATAATCACTAAACTAAGTCTAAATAATTCCAATTAATGTTTAAAATCTGATTTATTTGAAAAACAATAACAAAGTGTACAGCAATCACAAATGTGTCTTCCAGGTGTTAGAAATATGATTGTTTATACATTTATTTTCTAGTTACATTTCCCGCAGGCGGAAGATCAAAAAACTGTTTTCTGTTGAATTGTATTTGTCTATAACAAACATAAAAATTACTCAAAAAAGACTCAAAAATGACTATAAAATGATTAAAAAAATATCAGTAAAACAACCAGTAAGTCGGTTCATTAATGACCCAAAAAAATATAAAAAAATGAGTCAGAACTGATCAGAAATAGGACTCATGTATTAGGCTAATCGAAATAAATAAAGAAACATCTTAAAGTTTTTCTTAGACCCCACTTTTTTACATTAAGGTTTTAGCAGTAAAAATTATAAAAAAACTAAAACAGATTATATTTATATAATATCTCTTATTTTATTAAAATAATATTTGTTTTATTCTAAATTAATTAATTTAACAATATATGATTGTATGATTTAAACATTCATTTTATATTATCTGCGACATGTGCAAATTCCCTTTCTCGAACAGTAACCGTCAGGATATCCTCTAACTCTACAATGTACCACACATAATGCAGAACTAAATGAACAGGTTCCACGTTTTTGTCTATTTAAAATTAAGACTCCATTATCAGCATTATATGTTTCCCGTAGTCCTTCATTTAACTGATTTAAACTTTCATCAGCTTCTGTAGATTTTATAGCGCTCAGCATTAGGCAGGTAAAGCAGAGTACAAAAATTCCCAAAAATTTCATTTTAAAAAATTTTAATTTTATTCTTTTGTTAGTTATAAAACTTTGACAATACTGTTCGTATAATGGTTCAGGGAGAATGTATTTATACTAAACTTTGGTAATAGGGGATTTTTGTTTTTGTGAGATTTCTTATCATTACAAACAATGGACCATATATGATTATTTAAAGAAAAACATAAATAATACTGATTGATAATTTACCAAAAATGTATAATTATTATTTAGTCTTGCAATAATAAAACAGACAAGGTGGTATTATCGCTTGCTAGTGGGGTTTTCCAAAATTTTTAAAGAACTAATCAGTGGCATCATGTACTATTGTTTAAACATTTATGTTCTGGTAGAATGAATAATAGGGAAAAGGGGTTTAATGAGAAAAGTTCCAAAATAGTTACGTTTGAATTTCCAAAAATTTGTATATAAAAGCTATAATATTGAAATGATTTTGTGCTACCTTAAGGTACTGGTATGGCTATGTATAAACGGTTGTCATATCTTACAATAATGGCAGATTTGGCAATGTACTGACAATCAAAATTTGCTAGCAACAGGTAAATAGTCTGTTCTGTTTTAAGAAAACCTTACAATTTTATTGCCAGACAATTGTCAGACAATAAATTTATCTGCCAACAAAAATTGTCAGTTCATACTCTTGTCAAATGGTTGTATGACAAAAGTGGCCTCATCTTCTTTTAGCTGCATATGTTCTTTTAATGCAACTTTTTGTCTATAAAAAACATTTATCTGACAATGGTTCCATTGTCAAGCTATATATACACGTTTGTCGAATCTTACAATGTTGGCAGATCTGGTAATGTACTGATATTGATTGTCTGTTCAGACGATTTTAAGAAAACCTTACAATTTCACTGCCCGACAATAAATTTATTTGCCAACAAAAATTGTCAGTTCACACTGTTGTCAGATTTTTATATGGCAAAAGTTGCAACATCCTATTTTAGCTGTATACTATGTTTTTGTTAATGCACCGTGTTGGCAATGGAAAACATTTATCTGACAATAGTTCCATTGTCAAGCTATGTATACACGGTTGTCAGATCTTACAACGTTGGCAGGTTTGGCATTATACTGATACTGAAAAATTGTTAGCAACAGGAAAATTGTCAGTTCAGACGGCTTTAAGAATATCTTAAAATTTCATTGCTAGACAATTGTCAGACAATAAATTTATCTGCCAATAAAAATGTCAGTACACACACTGCTGTCAGATTGTTAAATGGCAAAAGTTGCCGCATTAAAAGAACATATGCAGGTTCTTTTAATGCACCGTGTTGGCAATAGAAAACATTTATCTGACAATAGTTTCATTGTCAAGCAATGTATACAATGTTGGCAGATCTGGTAATGTTCTGACAAAGTAAAATTGTTAGCAACAGGAGTTTACACCGTTGTCAGATTGTTGTATGACAAAAGTTGCCACATCTTATTTTAGCTGTATATGTTCTTTTAATGCACCCTGTTCACACATCTGACACAACTGTCAGACAATTATCTGGCAATGTCAAAGTAATGTGTTTACACGAATCTTAGGTGTTTGACGATATTATTGTTTTACAATATACAGACAATGCTTTTTCTAACAACGTTGTAAGATAAAAATTTGCCAACGTTGTAAGATCTGACAACCGTATATATAGCTTCAGACGTATAAAATTTGCACATCTGATAATAAAAATTGTCAGACAACTATCTGGCAATGACTACGTAATGTGTTTACCCGATTGTTAGATGTCTGACAATATTATTGTTTTTCAATATTCTAACAATGTTGTAAGACAAAAATTGCCAACGATGTAAGATCTGATAACCGTATATATAGCTTCAGATGCATAAAATTCGTACATCTGACAATAAAATTTGTCAGACAGTTATCTGACAATGGCAACGTAATGTGTTTACACGATTGTTATACTGACAATGCATTTCTAACATTGTAAGACAAAAATTGGTTGTTAAAATTTTTTTACATGTATAAAATTCGCATATTTGACAATATACATTGTCAGACATTACTATGGCCATGGCAACCTAATGTGTTTACACGATTATTAGAAATCTGACAATATTATTGTTTTACAATATGCTTTTTCTAACAACATTGTAAGATCTGACAACCGTGTATACATAGGTTCAGGTGTTCACGTAAAGCACTTCGACTTATACATACGAACATATGGTTATTTACATATATAAATTCGATTTGAGTCGTTAATCTAATAAGAATCATTAAATTATTTTTATTTACGCTATTTTTCTAATATTTTCAATAATTATTGAAGAAAATTTTGTATTTTATTTTTTCATAATAAAAAAATCTTTTCATTTAAACTCATATCCATAATTTTCTAACGGTTTTTTCCTAAGACGACTAAACACATCATTCTTTTCTAAATAACCATCTGGCAGCACTTAATTTTCTATGCAATGACAGCCAACAGCTGTTTAGATTTTCGAACATGCATATGACGTGTACTTGACAGTTGGCAATAATTATTTTCTATAGAAAAACACCAAAAAATAATGTTTTCATTCCAGTAAATTAATTAAAATAATTTGATAAATTTGCAATAAAAAAACAAGTGTTTAATAACAATAGAAACGTTTGGAAAGTGGCAAAAGTAAATAAACAATATGCTGACGCTAAGAGAAAGGCAAATAAGTAAGAAAGAAAAGTGAAAATTTCCAAAGAAAGAAAAAAAAAAACAAGTGACAAATCAAATGTTGAAATAAAGAAATTTTTTTAAGTTTTACTATTTTCTTTAACATAATTAATGAGTATTTATTAATTTTAGATGCTATTAAGCAAATGCTTAATCTAAATGTTCAACAGCCTAAAGTTTTAGCCGCTGAACCTGTTTGGAAAATATTGATCTATGACCGGGTGGGTCAAGATATCATATCGCCCATTATATCGATAAAAGAGTTAAGGGAATTGGGTGTAACTTTGCATGTGTAAGTTTTCTTTTAACAAACCAAATGCGCAAAAAACTAAAACGTTTTAAAATGTTTCATAAATTTGTAGACAACTGCATTCAGATCGTGATTCTATACCCGATGTTCCTGCCATTTACTTTTGTATGCCTACCGATGAAAATTTGGATCGTATACAACAGGATTTTACCAATGGCCTTTATGACATCTATCACTTGAACTTCTTGGCTCCCATTTCGAGACAGAAAATAGAAGATTTAGCTGCTGCCGCTTTGCAGGCCGGTTGTGTGGCTAATATTCATCGGGTCTATGATCAGTATGTGAATTTTGTCAGTTTGGAAGATGATTTCTTTATATTGAAACATCAGAAAAGTGATCAATTGTCTTATTATTCCATAAATCGTGCCAATACGCGGGACGATGAAATGGAAGCTCTTATGGATTCTATAGTGGATTCCTTATTTGCTGTTTTCGTTACCCTGGGAAACGTACCTATTATACGTTGCCCCCGTAACACTGCAGCAGAAATGGTGGCACGCAAGTTGGAAAAGAAATTACGTGAAAATTTGTGGGATGCTCGTTCAAATCTATTCCATATGGATGCTACTCAAGCTGGTGGTGGGGTATTTAGTTTTCAACGTCCTGTTCTTTTACTGCTAGATCGTAATATGGATTTAGCTACTCCTTTACATCACACCTGGTCTTATCAGGCTTTAGTACATGATGTTTTAGATTTGGGTTTGAATCTGGTGTACGTAGAAGATGAATCACCAGCGGGAGGTAAGTCTCATAATTAAAATTATTAAAAAAATAAAATTCCTATTATCAATTCCTCTTTTAGGCACTCGCAAAAAACCCAAACCTTGTGATCTAGATCGCAATGATCGTTTCTGGAGCAATCATAAAGGCAGTCCTTTCCCCACAGTGGCCGAGGCTATACAGGAAGAATTAGAATCCTATCGTAATTCTGAGGACGAAATTAAACGTCTTAAAACTTCTATGGGTATTGATTGTGAAAATGAGGTGGCCTTTTCTATGGTCAATGATACCACAGCACGTCTAACTAATGCTGTCAACTCTTTGCCTCAACTCATGGAAAAGAAACGTTTAATTGATATGCATACAAAAATTGCCACTGCTATTTTGAATTGCATTAAACAGAGACGTTTAGATTCCTTCTTTGAGCTGGAAGAGAAAATCATGTCCAAACAGACTTTGGATAAACCTTTATTGGAACTTTTTAAAGATCCTGAATTTGGCACAGCCGAAGATAAATTAAGACTTTTCATTATATTCTATATTTGCTCACAAAATGTGCCCGATTTTGAAATCGAACGTCTAAAAGAGTCTCTACAAGAAGCTGGTTGTGATTTGTCTTGCTTGGCTTATATACAACGATGGAAGGGCATTATGAATCGTACGCCCAATATGCAACAGGCCACTCAATATGAGGGTGGCGGCACTAAGACTGTTTCGATGTTTTCGAAATTGGTATCGCAGGGCTCGTCGTTCGTCATGGAGGGTGTTAAGAATTTAGTGGTGAAAAAACATGTAAGTGTAAAATCGTGCTTTGAAACTTTTACTGAACTTTTACTGAAGTAGAACTGAACTAGAACTGAACTAGAACGGAACTAGAACTGAACTAGAACTGACTAGACTGAACTAGAACTGAACTAGAACTGAACTAGAACTGAACTAGAACTGAACTAGAACTGAACTAGAACTGAACTAGAACTGAACTAGAACTGAACTAGAACTGAACTAGAACTAGAACTGAACTAGAACTAGAACTGAACTAGAACTGAACTAGAACTGAACTAGAACTGAACTAGAACTGAACTAGAACTGAACTAGAACTGAACTAGAACTGAACTAGAACTGAACTAGAACTGAACTAGAACTGACTAGAACTGAACTAGAACTGAACTAGAACTGAACTAGAACTGAACTAGAACTGAACTAGAACTGAACTAGAACTGAACTAGAACTGAACTAGAACTGAACTAGAACTGAACTAGAACTGAACTAGAACTGAACTAGAACTGAACTAGAACTGAACTAGAACTGAACTAGAACTGAACTAGAACTGAACTAGAACTGAACTAGGACTGAACTAGAACTGAACTAGAACTGAACTAGAACTGAACTAGAACTGAACTAGAACTGAATTAGAACTGAACTAGAACTGAACTAGAACTGAACTAGAACTGAACTAGAAATGAACTAGAAATGAACTAGAACTGAACTAGAACTGAACTAGAACTGAACTAGAACTGAACTAGAACTGAACTAGAACTGAACTAGAAATGAACTAGAAATGAACTAGAACTGAACTAAAACGGAACTAGAATTGAACCAGAACTGAACTAGAAATATTCTTACCGATTTTGTTGTTTCTTTGGTGGCAAGCAATAAAAATGCTAATTTTATTTTGTTTGCGTTTATTTTTTAGAGTCTTCCTGTTACCAAAATTACTGAACAAGTCATGGAGTGCCGCAGTAATCCTGAAACCGATGATTATCTCTACTTAGATCCTAAACTCTTAAAAGGTGGAGATGTTATGCCTAAAAATCGTGCTCCCTTCCAGGATGCTGTGGTATTTGTGGTGGGCGGTGGCAATTATATTGAATATCAAAATTTAGTAGATTTTATACGTCAAAAACAAACTGCCAATGTTACGAAACGCATTGTCTATGGCTCTTCGACTCTAACAAATGCCAAACAATTCCTTAAAGAACTGTCGGCATTGGGTAAGGAAATACAAGGTCCTGTCTTAAGTTAGGATTCTGAATATTTAGCTAAAGGTTCACATTTCAAGTGCTGTTGAACAGTATAATATTTACGATAAAAAACACACACAGAGAGCATCGTCGTTGCAACGTAATGAAGATGTAATATTAACTCTACATAATAATTAAATTTGTTTTCTTGTTTACAATGAAATTAAATTGGCATGTCACCGTTAAAATTTGATTTAAGTTAACATATTTATGTTTTATGTGTAGATGTTAAGGCAAAATATATTAACTATTAATTTCTTTTTTAAATAAATAAAATTAAACGAAATTATTAAGAGGGAAATGAACATGTTGATTTTCAATTTATTGGGAGGGAAATTTTAATTTTATAAGGACTAGTGATTTAATAAGCAAATAATTTTACTTACATTGCAATAAACTGAAGCTACTGGAAAGACCTGCATTTGTTGGTCAAGACTGTTAACCTCCACAATGAATGTTGCTTTAAATGCTGCTAAATTTTAGACGATTTTATCTTGTCAATTTTAATTTTTTATATTAATTTGCCATTTGCTAAAGTTTATAGAACAATATAACCGCACTAGTTCCTGACCAAATATTTTGTATGACACGAGAATGCAAATTTTACAGTAATTTCTATATTTTATTCACAATATTTTTTAGTTATTATTTTTCAATTATTTTTTTAATTCATTTTAAGTAATTTTATTCTTTTAATTTCTTACTAACCGACAAAAACACAATCGTTTTTAAACAAAAAACTACAGTTTCTTTTTTAATATTGCTAAACATAGACAATGTTCCTATAAAAACGATTGATTACACATCACTTCGAATCAAAACAAAAATTACACATCACTAACTTTAACAAGGAGGGCGGCCATCTTAACGCAAATGAAATAATTTTTTTTACACGAAAAAACCTGCAAATTTCAAATTAAATTTTCTTGACAAATTTAATATTTTCGAAAAAACTAATTAGATACACAGCAAGAAAATGTTATTATTTGCAGATCTTTGTAACTTTTATAATTGACTAGCTTATTACCCGCTACTTTGTTAGCGAGGGTTTTTATAGAATGAGAAATATGTTGGCTCTTCATTTAGCAAGGAAAAAATAATATGTTTTACAAAGATTACAAATTTTTAAATATTGGTAATTCCCTAATTTGAAGAAATGATGATTGTATATGTGTACTCAATTTTAAGTACTTAAAAGTCAATTTTTATAGATTCTCATTTACTCCGGGCTCCATATGCTTAATTTCATGTTTTTAGGTTGAATTTTATAGAAAACTCAAAAAGTACCAATCGAAGGACGAAAAAGTGCCAAAGAGTTCACTTTTATAGATTCTCATTTACTCCGGGCTCTACATGCTTAATTTCATGTTTCTAGGTTAAATTTTATAGAAAACTCAAAAAGTACCAGTCGAAGTACGATAAAGTACCAAAAAGTCCCCTTTTATAGATTCTAATTTACTCCAGGCTCTACATGCTTAATTTTATGTTTCTAGGTTAAATTTTATAAAAAAAACTGAAAAAAGTACCAGTCGAAGAATGAAAAAGTACAAAAAGTCTCCTTTTATAGATTCTTATTTGCTCCGGGCTCTACATGCTTAATTTCATGTTTCTATGTTAAATTTTATAGAAAAATCAAAAAGTACCAATCGAAGAACAAAAAAGTACCAAAAAGGTCCTCTTTTATAGTTTCCAATTTACTCCGGGCTCTATATGCTTAATTTCATGTTTTTAGGTTGAATTTTATAGAAAAATCAAAAAGTACCAGTCGAAGAACGAAAAAGTACCAAAAAGTCCCCTTTTATATATTCTCATTAACTAAGGGCTCTACATGCTTAAATTCATGTTTCTAGGTTAAATTTTATAGAAAACTCAAAAAGTACCAGTCGAAAGACGAAAAAGTTCCCAAAAATTCCCCTTTTATAGATTCTCATTTACTCCGGGCTCTACATGCTTAATTTCATGTTTCTAGGTTAAATTTTAAAGAAAACTCAAAAAGTACCAGTCGAAAGACGAAAAAGTACCAAAAAGTCCCCTTTTATAGATTCTCATTTACTAAGGGCTCTCATTTACTAAGGGCTCTACATGCTTAATTTCATGTTTCTAGGTTAAATTTTATAGAAAACTCAAAAAGTACGACTCGAAGGACGAAAAAGTACCAAAAAGTCCCCTTTTATAGATTCTCATTTACTAAGGGCTCTACATGCTTAATTTCATGTTTCTAGGTTAAATTTTATAGAAAACTCAAAAAGTACCAGTCGAAGGACGAAAAAGTACCAAAAAGTCCCCTATTATAGATTGTCATTTACTCTGGGCTCTACATGCTTAATTTCATGTTTCTAGGTGAAATTTTATAGAAAACTCAAAAAGTACCAGTCGAAAGACGAAAAAGTTCCAAAAAGTCCCCTTTTATAGATTCTCATTTACTCCGGGCTCTACATGCTTAATTTCATGTTTCTAGGTTAAATTTTATAGAAAACTCAAAAAGTATCAGTCGAAAGACGAAAAATTACCAAAAAGTCCCCTTTTATAGATTCTCATTTACTCCGGGCTCTACATGCTTAATTTCATGTTTCTAGGTTAAATTTTATAGAAAACTCAAAAAGTACCAGTCGAAGGACGAAAAAGTACCAAAAAGTCCCCTATTATAGATTGTCATTTACTCTGGGCTCTACATGCTTAATTTCATGTTTCTAGGTTAAATTTTATAGAAAACTCAAAAAGTACCAGTCGAAAGACAAAAAAGTTCCAAAAAGTCCCCTTTTATAGATTCTTATTTACTCCGGGTTCTACATGCTTAATTTCATGTTTCTAGGTTAAATTTTATAGAAAACTCAAAAAGTACCAGTCGAAAGACGAAAAAGTACCAAATAGTCCCCTTTTATAGATTCTCATTTACTAAGGGCTCCACATGCTTAATTTCATGTTTCTAGGTTAAATTTTATAGAAAACTCAAAAAGTACCAGTCGAAAGACGAAAAAGTACCAAAAAGTCCCCTTTTATAGATTCTCATTTACTAAGGGCTCTACATGCTTAATTTTATGTTTCTAGGTTAAATTTTATAGAAAACTCAAAAAGTACCAGTCGAAAGACGAAAAAGTTCCAAAAGTCCCCTTTTATAGATTCTCATTTATTCCGGGCTCTACATGCTTAATTTCATGTTTCTAGGTTAAATTTTATAGAAAACTCAAAAAGTACCAGTCGAAAGACGAAAAAGTTCCAAAAAGTCCCCTTTTATAGATTCTCATTTACTCCGGGCTCTACATGCTTAATTTCATGTTTCTAGGTTAAATTTTATAGAAAACTCAAAAAGTATCAGTCGAAAGACGAAAAAGTACCAAAAAGTCCCCTTTTATAGATTCTCATTTACTAAGGCCTCCGCATGCTTAATTTCATGTTTCTAGGTTAAATTTTATAGAAAACTCAAAAAGTACCACTCGAAGGACGAAAAAGTACCAAAAAGTCCCCTTTTATAGATTCTCATTTACTAAGGGCTCTACATGCTTAATTTCATGTTTCTAGGTTAAATTTTATAGAAAACTCAAAAAGTACCAGTCGAAAGACGAAAAAGTTCCAAAAAGTCCCCTTTTATAGATTCTCATTTACTAAGGGCTCTACATGCTTAATTTCATGTTTCTAGGTTAAATTTTATAGAAAACTCAAAAAGTACCAGTCGAAAGACGAAAAAATACCAAATAGTCCCCTTTTATAGATTCTCATTTACTAAGGGCTCTACATGCTTAATTTTATGTTTCTAGGTTAAATTTTATAGAAAACTCAAAAAGTATCAGTCGAAAGACGAAAAAGTTCCAAAAAGTCCCCTTTTATAGATTCTCATTTACTACGGGCTCTACATGCTTAATTTCATTTTTCTAGGTTAAATTTTATAGAAAACTCAAAAAGTACCTTTTGTAGAACGAAAAAGTACCAAAAAGTCCCCTATTATAGATTCTCATTTACTCTGGGCTCTACATGCTTAAATTAATGTTTCTAGGTTAAATTTTATAGAAAACTCAAAACGTACCAGTCGAAAGACGAAAAAGTTCCAAAAAGTCCCCTTTTATAGATTCTCATTTACTCCGGGCTCTACATGCTTAATTTCATGTTTCTAGGTTAAATTTTATAGAAAACTCAAAAAGTATCAGTCGAAAGACGAAAAAGTTCCAAAAAGTCCCTTTTTATAGATTCTCATTTACTCCGGGCTCTACATGCTTAATTTCATGTTTCTAGGTTAAATTTTATAGAAAACTCAAAAAGTATCAGTCGAAAGACGAAAAAGTACCAAAAAGTCCCCTTTTATAGATTCTCATTTACTGAGACCTCCGCATGCTTAATTTCATGTTTCTAGGTTAAATTTTATAGAAAACTCAGAAAGTACCAGTCGAAAGACGAAAAAGTACCAAAAAGTCCCCTTTTATAGATTCTCATTTACTAAGGGCTCTACATGCTTAATTTCATGTTTCTAGGTTAAATTTTATAGAAAACTCAAAAAGTACCAGTCGAAAGACGAAAAAGTACCAAAAAGTCCCCTTTTATAGATTCTCATTTACTAAGGGCTCTACATGCTTAATTTCATGTTTCTAGGTTAAATTTTATAGAAAACTCAAAAAGTACCAGTCGAAAGACGAAAAAGTACCAAATAGTCCCCTTTTATAGATTCTCATTTACTAAGGGCTCTACATGCTTAATTTTATGTTTCTAGGTTAAATTTTATAGAAAACTCAAAATGTACCAGTCGAAGGACGAAAAAGTTCCAAAAAGTCCCCTTTTATAGATTCTCATTAACTAAGGCCTCCGCATGCTTAATTTCATGTTTCTAGGTTAAATTTTATAGAAAACTCAAAAAGTACCAGTCGAAGGACGAAAAAGTACCAAAAAGTCCCCTTTTATAGATTCTCATTTACTCCGGGCTCTACATGCTTAATTTCATGTTTCTAGGTTAAATTTTATAGAAAACTCAAAAAGTACCAGTCGAAGGACGAAAAAGTACCAAAAAGTCCCCTATTATAGATTGTCATTTACTCTGGGCTCTACATGCTTAATTTCATGTTTCTAGGTTAAATTTTATAGAAAACTCAAAAAGTACCAGTCGAAAGACGAAAAAGTACCAAAAAGTCCCATTTTATAGATTCTCATT